GGAAGTTGTTATAGTGAACTCCTTGGTAGGCCTAATGAGGCTTCATTCATCAGACAAAGTACAATATTAAATTTTACTTCACCAACTTCCTCTGCATTTAGCGAGTGATTATTCATAAACAATGACGTCACACCGGTGGCAGCATTTTGATGATGATGCAATTTATAGAGAGGCGGATCCAGAGATGTCCGAAAAAGGGGGGGGGGGGGGGGGGGGCCGATGGCGATAACACCACCCTAGGGTGTCCGGGAGAATTTAACTTTCTTCTAAATCCGCCACTGGTTACAGTGCCGTTCGCAAAAGTTATGGAGTAAAACTCCCCCTGGGGTTCAATACTATAGGTCTTTGATTACATAATATTTAAATAGTTAATCAGGCGGTATACATTAAATGCTGGATGTTTAGTAACAGATTAACCACGGAGGTATAAAATAGCTATTATATAATATACCTCCATGGATTAACAGATGATATAATGGATATGCTAGCGGTAGCAGTGGAAAAGCGTACCTTTATCTCGAGAGGATTAGCTAATTATTTAAATAGTATATTTAAATAAATAGTCTCAGAGGAAAACAAAAACTACAACAGTTTCTAAAGTTATTTCCTGCATGGGTATAATCAGGTATAATGCATCAATATTAGTTATAGATACAATGGTTCAATATCTTTCGTACCTAAACCAGGGAAAAACTTTGTAAATGTCATTTAGTAAAATTATTTGTTTTATTTTTTTTATTTGCTTATAAAGTTAACCGTTTTAATTCGTCCTGTTTTAACAAATAGTATTTACAGTATATAGTTTCCATTGCATGTCACATTGCATGTTAGTGTGCATTCGTTTCAATTGTTTGCATTTTAATGTTTTATCATAGGCCTATAAAAAGTAATATGAATGAAAATTATTATGAGGGCAATTTATTTTCATTAAATATTGATAGGCCTATATTGGAGCGATAATAAAACAGAGTGCACGGAGCCATCATATATTGTTATCGAGAGCAGTGTGCAATTTAACTAGGGTCAGGCCAATAAGAATAAGATCTGAAATATATAAATCCATGGCCACATTACCACTCGTTACACTTTAGTTTTTTTATTTCCTCTTAATTTGATAATAAATATGAACCTTTATGATCAGTTAGTTCTAAGCTCAATATTTTGCTATAAATGCCTTACCTTGTAAAATTTAAAGTAGAAATATAATTACTGTAGTTTTATTAGTTAATTAATGTTTGTATTCCATTTAAATGTGTAGTTTTTTTGTTTTTTTTTCCCGAGTTAAAATATATTTCCGAACATGACTGCAACCTTGTATATAATACGGTACTGTAAGACTACCGTAACACATAGGCCTACATGCCATGTTGATAATTTTTACCTTGTATAAACATTTTTAGTTTAATTTACTTCTAGTTTAAGTTTATTTTTCTTTTATTTGGATGCACCGTTGGGTATTGTCCAACGTGTGCCACTGTAAAGCGCTATCCATTAAATTAAAATTGAAATTAAGAAAGGTATCCGGTGTTATTTTTTTTTTCAAACAAAGAGACAGTATTTTTTTCAAAACAAAATTTATTGACAAAAAAGAAGATCGACGTTTCAAGTCCATCATGGACACATTCTCAAGATCAAGTGAACAACAATATACCATCTATGAATATACAAAAGTAGACAAACCTAAGAAGGCAAAATGGATTAAAAAGTCACAAGAGTAACACCTACTGTGTTAATTGTTCCTAGCTACTGTAGTTGGAGCTATGATACTGATAAGCTCCAAGCAAATTAATCTGCAAGATAAACAATTTTGCTTTAATAGAATCTGTTTGTTTGTAAAGAGATGGATTTAGGGAGACAGTAACTCTGAACGTTGAATCAAGCTTATCTGGCCATTTGGAATAAATAAAACTTATTTGCTAGTTCACGTCCCCGCCCTCATTAAATTTAGGAGCATATTAAACTGATAAAATTTACTATGATATTTTAAATAAACCTTTTCCATTGTAAATTATAATATAATGTATGTACGTATATGTATTCTGAAACGTTTATTCAAAAATTAATATCACATGCTGAATAAGAGCCCACAAAGTCACATGTCAAACTAATGGCAAACACTGTTGTGCTAAGATTTCAACACATGTAAAATCTTAATATGATAATGTGAAAGATTTTTGTCAAAGACTAAGAGGATGTTAAGACATAAATGGCAGAATATACAAGCTTTTATGAAAAAAAAAAAAAAAAAAAAAAAAAAAAAAAAAAAAACGCAAACACACATTTGTATAAGGTATATGCTCATTTGGTGGATGGGTTGTCGGAGAAGTAAAATGCAGATTTTATAATGTAAGTATTTTCCGGCCCTACCGTATATTTCATACCTGTTGGCTCAATTTCATAAAAAAAAACAAAAAAAAAACAACAAAACAAAAAAACAATTGTGAAGAATAATGAAATATGGGAAAATAAAACCTATTAGGCCTATATAGATGCACAAATAATAGAAAGTTAATAATAATAAAAGAAAATAATAATTACAAGAAGTAAAAAAAAAAAAGATGAAGAGAGACATTTTAACGTCTTAAATGCGATTATATATTTACACATATACGTGCACGTTTAACCGCTCAGCTCCTGTTCATATTGACCACAGACAATTATTATTATTATTATTATTAGAACTATTTTCTCTATGCCTTGACAAATATATATCGCTGGTAATATTACCCCTATAATACAAGCAGCCAATTCGACTATTGTACAGTACATTATAGCTTGGTTCACGTCGAACTTTATCTAGATATACCCGTCTTGAAACATGATACGATAATCCCCTAATTGCGTTCGATGCGAAGTTAGAGCCAGATAAACAGCCAGCCAGTTTCAGGCCGTCGACGTCACACGGTCGAAAGGCTTATTTAATAAAACATCTACTGTATTTTACGAACCTCTAGTACCAAGTGGTATTGGTTCAAAAATTGTAAACTACTGTAGAGAAGGTGTGAGTTTCCACTACCTAACCTAGCCGACCAGTATGAACCAACGACCAGTGCAGTAGCGTGTTCTATCGCAATCTAAGTGGTAGCTTCTCTAGGCCCTGGCCCTAGCTACATTTACCTTCGATAAAAAACGAATTATTTTAATCGCTAGCTAGCATTCTTCCATTTAACAAAATATTGTTTTAATTTTCATTAAAACGTATG